GGAAGTAGAAGCAGACACCCACAGCTAAACACCAAACTGAACTGAACTGAAGTTCAATCGATTTGCAGAGAAGGAGTGATGAGCAAAGGGGTCCAGACCTGGCTGGTGAAAGCAAAAGAAACAGCTGACCTGAACAAGATAGAGCTCTTGGCCCCCAAAGTGATAGCTGGGAAACCAGCATGGGACTGACCCAGGCCCCCTGAATGTGGGTGTCAGTGAGAAGACCTCAGAAATCTATGAGGCCCCTTGTAGTGGATCTGTACTTATCCCTAGGCTAGGAATGGACTTTGGGAGCCCATCCCACATGGAGGGATGCTCCCTGAGCCTAGACACAAGGGGGTTGGCCTAGGCCCTATCCCAAGGATATGATAGACTCTAAAGACCCCCTACGGAAGGCCTCACCCTCCCTGGGGAGCAGAAAGGGTATGGAATAGGTAGGGTGTTATTGGGGGGCAGGGGAGGAGGGGGAAAGAGGGAACTGGGATTGACATGAAAAATAATCTTTCAAATTCAAATAAAAAATTATAAAAAATAAACTGAAACTGTCAAAAAGCAAAAAAAATCTATAATATATACTAAGAGAACCTGGTGCAGAGCCATGTAGACTCTGTCACTGTTTTTTTCAGTTTCTGAGTTCATAAGAGGCTTCCTTAGTTGATTCAGAGGGCCATGTTCTCCTGGCGTCCTCCATCCCCTCTGGCTCTTATAATCTTTTTGCCTCCTCTTTCTTTGGGTTCCCTAAGTTCTGAGGGAAGGGATTTAATGGGGACCTCCCATTTAGACTTTCTTTTATTTATATTTAGTTTCAGATTGCATGTGATTCTGAAACATAATCCTATAATTTCTTTAAGCTATTTTACATTTCAGAAACATACTTATTAATCAATAAAAATGATGAATTTTTCTGAAGAATTTTTCTTTTGGTATTATTTGGTATAATGAAAATGGGTATTTCTTCTTCTATTCTCTTTACTCCAAATTGTTTAAAGCATTAACATGTTCATGTAAGCAGACCTGCCTTTCCTATTATTCATTTTGCACTTGAACTTTGCTCTTTGGTGCAGATGAGAAGCACATGAAGCATTCAAGTTGTTTATGACTTAATAAGTTTATATTGCAATTCAATAGACTATGAAATACTTAAGTTGCTTGTTACAATATCCAAAGCAAATGCTTCTTAAAGTCCACTCAGCTATACACTATGTCTTATGTTTGTGATTTAGGGCACTACTACAGTCATTGAATGTATTTTTAAGTGGGCTTGAAATATATTTTCACTTTAAATTGCCCCATCCTAAGCAATAAATACTATAAAATCATAGCTGTAAATATTTTATACATGTTCTGATCCAATGCACAAAATAAATATAACATGACCAGGGTTAGCCTAAAACCATTTACCTCACAATGTAGAAAACATTGGAAATTCAAAGTGAAATGATGAAAATTTGTGTAGGCATAGACATTAGCTTAAAATTCTGTTTGGGACCACAGATCTGTAACTCAAATCACTATTAGGATACTACAAATTTATTATCCCTTAGTGAGTACTCTGACCTAGATGTCTGATCTACGACATTCTTTGCCTCACTTTTTTTCTGAGACAAAAATTATAGTCTGTAACCTTTAACCTTTTCTTTATCCAGTACAAACCAAACATCCCAAAGCGAGTGCAAGGATGCTGAGGACAGTTTGGAAAGAAGTTATGATGTTTTTATTCAAGAACAGAAGCCATATAGTAGATGATTTCCTGATATGTGAATGGCTGACAAAAGGAATGGAATTAGGGATGCTGAGTCTTCAATGGTAAAGAAAGATAACTATGCAGGGGTACAGAGAATGGTTAGTCTTGCACAGAAGAGCAACTACAGTTCTTGTTCAGTTGGGACATGACCAGAGCTGTTGAAGAGTAAGTGAGAGCTGATCACTTTACCCTGGCATCCAAAAAATGCCACACACTAGGTGAGGTTCAGACAGATGCTTTCCGGATCTTTGGTAACTATGAACAATGCCCACTTGGCTTATCTAGACATTTCATAGATCTTCCATTACTCAAATCTCAAGAACAATGTAGGTTCAGAATGAATGTACTTATTTTTTAAATGGAGATACTGAGAATAAGGTTGGGAGAGACTGACTTTGAATATGAGTCAGCATGATTCAAAGCCTGTCTACAAACCATAACATCATCTTATGAATGAGATTTGGCAAATAGAAAATTTAAGGGAGTACTTTTCAATAACCTCCTTTGCCTATTCAACCAAAATAAAGCCACACTGTCTCCTTGAGGGAACCAAAAACAAGAAGAGCTTTCATTGTAGAGTATAATTGTGTGAAAAGGAAATTGAAAACCCATTATCTTGGCCCTTGGTTTCCTTCAAGTCTCTGAGAATTCCCCTTGTTTTCCAAGGAAAACTTATGTAAATATGAGTAGTAATTAAAGAATTTAAAGAAAAAAGAAAAAAGCTGTTATTGATTTGTTTTGAGAGTGGACAAAGGAACAGAAGGAAACAACATTTCCAAGGAAAACTTCACCTTTATGACTGTATGGTTTTCAGAATGGAGATTGAAAGAAAAATAATTCAGAAGTCATGCTGCTTATTTACAAAACTGAGGATACAAAATCAGCTGGAGGGCTGGATCCTTCTTGTTTGCCTCTGTGTGTGTGTGCGCGTGCGCTGCATTCATAAAAGTGTCTATTCAATCTATTCAAGTAAAAGGAAAGTGTGGTTTTATTTTCTTAGTATATCAGGAAGTCTCAATCACTCTCAAGGTGTGTCAGAGATGTTTCAAAACATAAATAACTCAAAAATATTTACAAGAATTATGGAAATTAATGATGTTTTCAGTAGAGAGAAACTTATGAAGACAAATAGTTATAGAAGGTGGCAAAAACTAAAGGTTTGGGAAAAATTGATTTAACAACAACAACAGAGGGGGGAGAGAAGGAAGATAATAATAACAAGAAGAATAAAAAAAGAAGAGGAGGAGGAGGAGGGAAGGGAACTGGAGGGGAGGGGAGGGGAGGAAAAGAGAGGGGAGGGGAGAGAAGGGGAGGGCAGGGGAGGGGAGTGGGGAGGAGAGGGTGAGAGGAGAGAGGAGAGAGGAGGGAGGGGGAGGGGGAGGAGAGAGGGGGAAGGAGAGAGGAGAGAGTAGGGAGGGGAGGGGAGGGAAGGGGAGGGGAGGGGAGAGGAAAAATGGACAGAGGACAGAATGGAAGCAGGAGAATAGTATTCATAGTCTTGGGATGCCTCTCACTGAGTAAAATGTTTCCACTGCACATATTAATACTTTCACCTAGCTCTCTTAATTGCTACATTATAAAATTCATATTCAATTTGAAAGTAATTTTTTACTTTCGGAATTTGCATCTTTTTTTCCAATAAATTATTTTTTATTAGTTCAAATTAGAAACAAGCCTGCTTCACATGTCAATCCCTGCTCCCTCTCCCTCCCCTCCTCCCCCACTCCATTCTCCCTCTGCTCCCCAGGGAGGGTAAGGCCCTCTATGGGGGGATCACCAAAGTCTGTCATATCATCCTGGTCCCCCTGAGAAGGGGACTAGGATAGGATCTCCTGAGCTAATTGGGAGCATGGGAGTAGGGGAGACGGATCTGGGAGAAAGAGAGAGGAAGAAGAGAATGAGAGAGAAGGAAATGGGGGAACAGGAAGTTTGAGTCAGGGGAAGAATAGAGGAGAGCAGGATGAGAGATATTATAATAGAGGGGAGCCATTACAGGTTCCAGGAGAGATCTGACACTCGGGAGATTTCCAGAAATCTACAAAGATGACACCAACAGGCTGAATTAATGAGACTTTTTTTATTCTTTCACAGAGAAGAATGATAAAATACTAAGGATTCATTAAAATGCAATATGACTGAGGACAGAGCCTACTGGATAAATATTTGCATATACAAAGCCCTGGCTTCATTCTCTAGCACCAAGAAAAGCAAACAAACAAACAAAAAAGACAAACAGAAAACAATACACAATCAATGTCTTAACTTCAAATAGTTAAAAAGGAGAGCACAGAAGAGATTTGCCATGTTTTATTATAAATTTAGCATTTCCTTTTCAAGGATTAGATGATTCCGAGAAACCAACACTGCACAACTTAGAAAATGCAGAGACATTTGTTTCTTTAAGTAACCATTAACACACTGCTGGATGAAAAACATTTCATATCTGATGTGGTATTTTGAATGAAGACAGCTGAGATATAGCTATTATTGTCTTCTTGAAGTAAACTGGTCTGATCTATATACAGAAGCATGTTAAATGCAGGTATTAAATTAGAAGCTTCCACAGACATTCTTCTTCCATTAACCCCCACTCACATTCATTCCAAGTGCATTTAGTATTTATTTTGTACTCTTACAGTAAGGCTCTCTACATTGACTTTAGAAAGTAAATCATATTAGTAGGCCAAGAGGAGGTCAGCTTTGGCAGTATCAAAATGAGAACATACACATGGTAGCAGATCCTAGGTATTGTTAGTTTAAAAGAAAAATTTCTGTAAAATAAGTGCCTATTTTTTACTGCAAGTGGTACACAGCACGTTGCCCTCAGTTTCACAGTTCAGTCAAGGAGGCTTCCAGGAGAATCACAACCGCTGTGGCTATGGAGGATGAGGCAGAAAAGCCTGCTGGAGGCGGTGCTTGGGAATACCACTGGGTATTAAGAAGAGTGTACAGTCCAGTTATTCCCAAGAAGTCCTCTTGCTGCAGATGTGTAACTAATGGTCCCATTTCTCTTCTCTTTCACTTGTACTTTCTTCTTCTTCAGGGAATGCTGATCCATTCTGGCCTTTCAGATGCTTAACCCCTGAAATCATAAAAATTGTGTAAAATTCAAGTGAATTTTATTTATGGTAGATCCACTGCTGAAAGTGTTAATGAAAACATGGAATGGAAAAATTTAATTGTGTGTGTGTGTGTGTGTGTGTGTGTGTGTGTGTGTGTGTGTGTTTTCTCCAAGAATCTCAGCAATGTATCCTATATAAACCTTTTCATTCACTGAGCAGTAAAAACACATCCACACAAATTTCCATTAGAGACAGGGTATCTTTTATAATTATATCTTCTCCATTAAGGATTGCATCACAGTCTATTAAACCCCTGTTAACTAAAGATCTGCTCAGAGCCCTTATTATAATTCCAATGTATCATTTAGTGAAAATATTGCTTTTGGCATCACTGAACACAATTACAAAGAAGGCCTTTCAAAGTCCTAATACCAAAAGGGCTGTGTGCCATTTCTGTAATGTATAAACAAAAAAGTAACAGTCACAATATTGTTAGCCATATGTTTGGACTCATAATGTACCCACTGGATTATAAATTCTTTTATTCAAAATTCTTCAGTAAGTATGCCTACAGAGTGGAAAAATCTATAGGCATACCTTTGCCTAAAGCTGTTCCTTAGATGGCCTGGCCTGACCTTGCCTGGTGGGCTTCCTTTTCCTCAAGGCTTTATTTTCACCTTTCACAGTAATTTCTGCTCTAAGTTTCCTTTAGTCACTCCAGGCATATTTAAGGCTTTAAGCTTTTCTCCTTGTGTAGCCAACACCAAAAGTCTTTCTCCTCTTCACATGTCTAACCATCTTCCACTCACCCTTCAGGTATCAGCTTCTCTCTCTCTCTCTCTCTCTCTCTCTCTCTCTCTCTCTCTCTCTCCCTCCCCTCTCTCCTTTTTATTTGTGCACACACACACACACACACATTATGAGGCCACTTTGGTTTATGGTAATTAAGTGACCAGTTTCCACATTACACTGTAAGATCTTCTCTTGCCAGGAGCAGAACATGTGACTTTATTGAGATGTTCCCAAGAACAGAATTCGCAGCAGTTTAGGAAAGAGACTTGGCCTCTTGCCTGGGGTCTGTATCAAAACTAGTATATAAGAGCTGTACATGAAAGTAGAAATTTTGGGATACAAAAAGTTAAGAAAAGATGATAGAGAATCTGATTTTCTAAAATAGTGGAGGAAAATTAAAACTGATCTATACAGGTTCTCTGAGCAGAAACAGGGTCAATGACTGACAGTAAGGTAAAGAGTGGATTGTAGTGAGAGTTCTTACTAGGTACCTGTGGTGCTGACCACGCCTGTTTGGGTGTGGTCACAGGTGCATATTCTGATAGGGACTCTGAGGGCAGCTGAGATTGGATGCTCAGAGTACAGATCCTGAGTTATTGGTTTCTCATGTAAGTGATTTCTCCCCATTAAAATTAACCTACATCATCCCAATCCTGTCTATCGTAATTTGTACAGCCACACGATAACCCAGGGTCAGCACTACGAGCATCAAATCTCAGCTGCCCTCTAAGACTGAGCTGGAACCCAGAGAGCACAAGCTTATCCCTCACCCCAGACCAAAATCCCACAGGCTCATGTACAATCCTGTGACCACGCCCAAACAGGTGTGATCAGTTCCACTGATGACTAGTAAGATCTCTCTCTCACTACAGAGTGGATTATGTCCAATATAGAAAAAGAAGCTCCCAAATCTTCTGTTTGTTCAGCAAGAAACATGTGATTTTTGTTTGTTTGTATTGTTTTTTGAGCAAGGATATCACATTATATGTAGTTCATGCTGGTCTGGAACACATTATGTAGCCCAAGTTGACTTTGAACTCATAGAATTATTCTACATTGGCCTCCTGAAGAATGCTGGGTGCAGACTTCAGCTACCATACTTGGCTCAAATGCACATTTTTAAAACAAATTCATGAATGCATTGGGTAAATACACAATTAAAGTTTCTTTTATTGGTAAAAGCATATTCTTTATGTCTTAGTAATCACTCTAAAGTCCTTAGGGAATTTGCGGGTATACTTTGGAGCACTAATCACCCACTGAAAAAATATATATATTTTTGGATTTTTGAGACAGGGTTTCTCTGTGTATCTTTGGAGCCTATCCTGGCACTCACTCTAGAGACCAGGCTGGCCTCAAAATCACAGAGATCCACCTGCCTCTGCCTCCTGAGTACTGGGATTAAAGGCATGTGCCACCAATGCCCAACAAATCTATATTTTTTATTATATTTGTGCCTTTTCAAGGAAAAAGCCCCACAATTTTCAACAGATCTTGGCCAGGTCTCTTATCTCCAAATAATTATAAATATGAGTATTAACCAATCAAATCTCTATGGTTTAAAGAGGAAAGTAAAGTTTCCTGTTATATTCACTAAGAAACTATTAAATGAACTGGAGCACAAACTTTAGCCCTTTGCTCCTATTGGGAATTCTTTGCCTGGGTAGAATGGTATTCTCCACTATCAGTGACCTTCTATAAAATTAGAACTAGAAAGAAAATATCGTGACTGATGATCATGGGGCTTTTTTCATCACTAAACTGGATTTAACTGTAACCTATCCCTCACTGTTGGTTTTAGTGGAATCAAAAAGGTGTTGAATTTTTATTTATTTATTTATTTATTTGTTTGTTTGTTTGCTTGTTTGTTTGTTTGTTTGTTTTTTGTGACAGGGTTTCTTTATGTAACTTTGGAGCCTATCCTGGCACTCACTCTGGAGACCAGGCTGGCCTTGAACTCAGAGATCTGCCTGCCTCTGCCTCCACAGTGCTGGGATTAAAGGCGTGTGCCACCAATGCCCGGCTAAGGTGTTGATTTTAATCTAGCTTGTAGACTGTCTTTAAACATAACAAGGCTACAAATAGAGATAGTGTTTTGAGAAAAGAGGAAGCTTTTCTGTTGTATACAAAACTTTGTACTGGACGCTAGACATGAAGACTGTGGTCATTTAATCTTCAGAGACAAAATCAAGCAGTTTGATTTAAATATAATAACCCCCATCTGGGAAAGAGACAAAACTAGAGATCAAATAGCATGTGGGATTAGGAGTGATGATGTGCACTTGATTTAATTTAGTGGAAAACTATTATAGATGAGTACAACAAGCCATGCTGATGAGTATAACAGTGCTCCAACTTGAGAAATAGCAATTTATAAGCTGGTCAATAGCAAGCTTGGTATCTATGCAAACACTACTTGCAAAATATTTTGAATAAGCCTTAGTTTTTCTGAAAGCCTTTTATGTACAAAGGTATGACTTCTGTGGTTTTAGCATGACCGCTTACTAATGGTTCAAAGTATTTAAAATGTAATGTTGGATAGATTCTATTTAATAGTTAATGTGCACTCTGAATGGCCTCTCAATAAAGTCCTATCATTTCTTAAATTGGAAATGTTTTTTGCATTTCCTAAAATGCCTTTATATATTCTGTATTTTGTTTAATAGTTTACCATTAATTTTAATAGGAATATATTAACATACTAAGGTCACAGAGATCAAGTGAAATATTGATATTATTCCCCCAAAAGTGTATGTTTCATGCATTAGACTCACTACAAATATGTACACTGATACATTATTTGAAGTAAACTTGGTGTAGCCGACATAGTCAACAGCTGTTTTAATACAATGAAAGCAATATAGTCAACCTCTGCTCTAACACAATGAACACTCCACAGCATAAACTTCAGTCAACACATGACCACTTTTATTTAACTCTTCATCACTTAAGGACACACTCCTCTGCAGAGTAAATGTGGAAAATGGTTCTCCATGTCACATGGAAATAGGGAAATATTTTTATATTTATGCATATTTTTATCTATCAAGTACTTCACCAAAGCCATTAGACAAAACTAAAGCCAAGATGAAAAGGTTAACAGGCAGTAGTATGAAACAAGTGAGGAAGACAATCCATAAACCACTATCAGATGTAAGCTCAGATAACACCTTTGGGAAGAATCAGGTATCACGGTGGCAAAATGCGAAGAGTCACACGTTTATCATCAAGGCTGAGGCTGAGGTCAGGAAAGAATATGAAAATGAACTTGTATATGTGTTTTGGAGAGCCTATGACCATCTTAGAATGACACACAGACACACACACACACACACACACACACACACACACACACACACACACACACACACACACACACACATA